ATAGAACTATTTCATAATCATTTGTTATATCATTATCGTATAGATAAAATAATGCTTGTTGTCAATGAAGATTTGTTAGAAAAAACCCATTTATTGATATAAATTCTCCTATAGAATTTTTAAATAATTGAATTTCAACATTTAACATTAAAGAACTTCTATCAACACAGTGATTTTGTACATTTATTTTTTATAATTAATTGTTGAACATCATGTATAAAAAATTGAAATATTAATAACACATCAATATTTTGTATACGAAAGGCTTCATTTAATAAATGATAAATAAATGTTTCTCTTGTATACCACCATAATGTTCGATTAGATGGACAATCATTTTCAAATTCACATATAATATTTAACTCATTTTGACGATTTGATATTGATTTAATCTGTAAAAGATAATCATTTAATAATTGTGAATAAATAAAATTATCATTCAATTCATTATTTTTACAAAAAAATTTTATTGATAATGGTTCATTTATCTTTATTTGACTAGATTGTTCTTGATAAGAACGTATTTGTGATATTAATTCATCGAATTTAACAATAAAACTTTTAATTTTTGGATATTGTTTAATCCATCGCTTATTTCTTATTTTATCAGAACTATAAATATATATATTGAATAAACTTGTCGTAAATGATGTACATTTGAAATAAATTTTTTTCTTAGACAATCATTAATAATTAATACAAAACGATCATTTGGTAATGATTCAATATATTGCATACATTTATCATTATTTTAAAATATTTTTAAATTATTAATAAATATTCATAAACGTTCTTGTATTTCAATACATTCACCTGAATCATTAATTATAGTATCAAGTCATATAAATGAAAATCTGTTGAAATTTTTACTTTATTCAACATTTGTTGTCATATTTTATTCTCTCATACTATCATCAAATATACATGTCAATTCATGAGTATGATTACGTTTTATGATTTTGTTCGTCTTTGTATTAAAAAAAACTAACACGATTCGGTTGATTAATGTTATTTATTTGGATCGTATAGTTTAGTATAAAAGATAACTTAATTTATAGACGTCGAATCGAACATATGATATTTTATATTGCTCTATATATAAATATATAAATAACATATTATTATCGACCAAAAATAAATTTTGCCAAGTCAAATTTTATTATAATCGATCTATAGAAGAAATTTAATATGGTATCAACGTTGTTTTTGACAAGTCATTCAATTAATTTTTATATGCGTAGATTAGACTTAAGTGTACAAGAAGAATTAATATGTCAACATGATTGACATGACATATTAATTTCCTTTTCTTTGTATTTTGTTATAAATTGATTTAGAATTTTTCATGTGTGAAATTCTGCAAGTTCATTTTTCTATTTGATAAGATTATTAGAGAGAAAAAATTTCTGTCATTAATTTAATTAGAAAAGAAAAAAGAAGTCTCTTCTACAACTGGAAGCATGTAAAAGAAATTGATTCGATTCCCATAGGTGACATCTGTAGAATTGTTTTAGATGCATCCCTAATTATAAATCACATTTGAGTTTTTTTCTTTTTTTAGACCACTTATGAATAAAAACAAAAAAGATAAACGAAAACGGTGTGAGTGTGGGTACGGAATAAATTAAAAACATGACCTACTTCCACATCCACACCCACCTTTTTTTTCGTAGAGAATTACTCATCATTGTACTACTGATTACATGAGAGATCAATAAATGTAGGGAAAAACAACCGCAAACCGCAGGAAATTTTCGTCAGTATTCAATAGAGCTATCATTTCTCTCCTTTCTACATCGGTCTTTCTATAACAGACCGAACACAGAAGTTTAAATTTGAGAAGAATTCCAGTCATCAAGCTTCGATTAAACACTAAGCCATTAGTGAATTAGCTATAATGATGACTTATTCTATGTAAAGGTTGATAGTGATAGCAAAATGATTATTTTAGCTTTTTCATCAGTTAATTATATATCTGCACTGGGACTTAAGTACATATTAGACAAGTCTCAACATTCGAATTTAAACTTGCATCAACTATTTTATATTATGATGACAAGATGACTGTTCTTCATTATTTCGACAAAAATTCAGATAGAAATTGATCTATAGGAAACGCTTGGTTTTATGCAAAAAGCAATAGATGAATAAATCCTGTTCGAAAAATGATTTTACTTTTGAAAAGCTTTTGATGATTTCTTCAACGCATAAGCAATATAGTTCGAGAGAAGTATAACAAGAAAGATTGATGTTCTACTATAAAATAAGAGTCTTCAATTTTTATTGCAATTACAGAACTCAATATGTTTAATATTCACTAAGATTTGTCTACAAAATATAACCTAGTTCGTGTCTTCATAATAGAAAAACAGACTTCATAGAAAGAAAAAATTTCAAATAAAGACTAACTACGAAAAAAAATTTACGAAAAGCTATTAATCAAATCTGAATATTCTAGTTATTGTGTTGGCATTGCATCAAATTGTTTTGCACCATCAATTGGTTTGTTCCAAGAAAGTCTTGATTTACAATAGACTTCCATTGATGGTTTAGGAATATCATCAAATAATCCCATTTTGACGATCCAGGCACCAGGTAAACTCGGTGTTGATGAATAGATTGGACTGCCGCAGTTATCACAAAAAGCACTTTGAACCGTCTTTCCACTATCGGTTTTACTATGATGATATATTTTCGGTTGTCCAGTGATTTTCACAGTCGATTCCGGAACAATAATATTGGTTGATGCTATAGAGCCGGTAGCTTGACGACAGCTCTTGCAATGACATAAACAAATCTTGCCATCCCCATCGAGTACTTCCTTAGCAATCGAAATTTTAATTTGTCCACATAAACATTCGCCAGTTGTAGAACTCATTTTCGTTTAGACTTATTTTTATTTTACTCAGATATATGAAAGAAGGTGTGGGTTTATATTCAGTACGACAAAAAATATATGCAATACACAGTATGATAAAGGTGAGTAAATATCAGAGGTAGGAGATATGGTACTCATTCGCTCTCACAGTCGTTCTGTTATTTTTACTACGAACGAAAGAATAGCGATGGGGAAGCAGCGATTTTTGAGTTGAAATGAATATAAAAGGCTCGCAATCATATTGCTCTAGTTTATAAATCGTTACGCACGTGTTTGTGCTTTTTCTTCTAAATGTAAAGAGTGTGTTTATGAAGATATTGAGAGAGATATTAGCGTCTTCGCTTTATCTAGAGGCGGCAATCGGAATATAGGTGTATTTTTTAAAAATGACTTCTTATATTCTATTCATTACCTCTTATATGACGATATTTCAGACTGAGACACATCTTCAACATGCATATGAAAAAGTGTCATCCTTTTGGATTGTTGTTCATTTGAAGCAATAACTTTGAGAGAAATGAACTTCTAGAACTAGATTAATAAAAATAACTGAAATAAAATGTCGGTAACAGGAAGACCATCATATTACAAATAACAGTAAATATTGAAAACAACAGTTAATGTTGATTTTTGATTTGTTTTTATTTTGAAAATGATTACATGACAAACATAACAGCCATGAATTATTTTTTTTCTTATTAAATTCTTTCAAACTTTTGTATACGACTATGATTCGTATCTGAGACATACGGTTTGAGTCCAGAATCAAATGCCACATCGCTTGGAAAATATAATTCATTACTACCATTACCTGTTCGACCAATACCAGCAGAATAAGCAGTCATGATCGGTTTGAACCTTGCTTAAGGGTCTCATCAGATGGCTGACTTTATTCAAATTCATCATCATTTTATGATGATGAAACTGCAATCAACCTCTCGAATAGAGGAGATTCAGTATTATAATTCTATGATGATGAATTCGAATAAAGCCATCTGATGAGGCTTTTGCGCAAGGTCAAAACCGATCATGGCTGCTTATTCTGATTATACTGTTTATTGATATAGATGAACACCTAGAATGATCAATATTTTTATGTTGATACCAAAAAAAAGAAAATATTACCATTTATCTTGATATTTATAACCAGAAAATGTCAAAAGGCTTACTTTTAGCCAATATATTTGACACTCAACGGACAGTAGTTTTTTTTTGACTACGTCAGATACCAACTGAGATAATCAATTCAAACGTCTGAACTTCAACATGGAAGAATGAAGCAATATACGACACAAGTAATTTCGAAAGAAAAGTAAACACAAATAACGCTACACGACATCCATACATGTCACCATAAGAAAGAAAATTGGGCTCGAACAGAGGAGAACGCGCAGTTTTTAGTAAAACTAATTTGAATGATTCAGAAACTTGGTTATTTCTGTGAACTAACTGTATTTCGCTTGATCTAAGGCATAATCAACATTGTAACTTACTTGCGCCAACTGCTCGATTTATCTCGCGAGAAATATTTGGTTTTTAGTAAAGTTTGAATGACAAATTTCAAAACTATCTGTCACAGAAAAAAACCAAAGGAAAAAAGGCTCAGAGTGCAATGCAATTTACAATAATGAAGAAATGGAAAACTAAAATACATCGAACATCAAATTTTTGCAGATAGAAAATAGACGATGTATGTGTTTTTCTCTATGTACCGAAAGCTGAGATGCATAAAGCTTTCTGATTCGACATGAGAATAAAACAGTAAACAAACTCTCCGAATAGTGCTATAATTTCAAACGAAGACAAAATGATAATCGAGATCTCGATTGTATATGAGTTCCCATGCTCCTCCGAAACAATTCAATAATAATTTTCAAGTTTAGATTCAATTAAACCTGAAGTAATGTTAAAGTTTTGTGAGACATTCTATCAAGTATAGGAACAAAACAAACGAGACTACTATGGCATATAAATTACAATATATTGTATTGTCACTCTATCAAAATAATTAGTAATCCAAGTGATTAGTGGTCAGCTATTTTCATGATGATGATTTGTTTTAATTGAATACCCCACAACAAAATAAAGTATGCTATTTGTATAAGACCGTGATGGTTTCTCAGTTAACTCTTTAATTTATAGAAGCATCCAGATCAACGTTGTATATTCGCAACATATGAAATTTCACAGTATTCAAAGTTAGTGCTATGCTATTTTCGACCCTGTCTCTCTCGATATAGTAATGTCCATGATTTATAGATCACCGAAATAAAATATCTTTTCGAATAATGTGTTCGGATGTCTACCAGATGGTTCATGGTGTACTGAATGACAAATTTTCGTCACATCGAGAATTATTTGACAATACATTGAATTTAGGATCAAAATAATCAAAGTAGGATTCTACAAGCTCCTGTCCTTTTCATGTATTTGACTTGCAGAAAAAAGATAGCTTAAATCATACGTTTTTATATGGTGTCTGGCCTTTAAAGATTAATCTTATATTTGCAAATGAGGAAATATGTGAATGAAAACCACACAGTGACCTCACCTGATTGAATAAAGGCTGGATAGTGAAATCACATGAATGGACGAAATGTGAATAGCGAAAACATGTTTTCGTCTGTAATTGGATACAGACAGACAAATTCATTTTATTTCATATGATCCTCTCTTCAGTCGAGAGAATAAAACTAGACGTCTACCCGACCCAAAGCCAGCTCGAAAAATATCGAAACCTGATCCTATACGACATCTGCTACTTCGAAATCCTAGACTAGTGTAGAGGATGTCATAATGAATTCCAATCACCTTCAGCTATCTTAGTTCAGCTGACTAGTGAAAGATAATGATTCTGAATCATAGATTTCCATATAAGGAAGCTCTCGGCTGTTCATTATCGTTCTTTGTATCTCATATGTATAAACCATGCAGAGATTTCTCTAAACATTTGAGACTCTTTCATGGACGAATTTAAGCCATGTAAGACGATAATTAAAGTATATATGCACATAAGAACTGAGATATCAATGATCTTTTTAAGCCTGAGTCATACATAACCATATAGGGAAACTATCAGCTGTTAATTATCATTTTTGATATTTTCTATATCTCCCGAACGCCGCCGAATTTCGAAAAACGGGTTTCAGATGTGCACTCGTCACGTTCTTAGGATCTCGCCAATTTTTTTGTTTCGACTGGAAATGATACTTAGGAGCTGAGAACGAGTGGCTGACTTGAATCGTGACTCATGTGTTGAAAAGAAGAAGACGAAGAATTTGTCATGGCAACTAACCGAATGAAAAGCAACAAGTAGGCTACTGCACTTCGTACAGTCAGCCGACTTAAATATTTATTTCTTGAAAAAAAAATATTACATTCAACTTAACAAAAACACTCGTATATAACATTCAAAGATCTTTCTGTATTCGTTAAAAGATTTTCGAAGATATGCCAACTGATTCTCACAATATGAGGTCTTGTCTAACTATGTTTTCCTCTTCAGAAAAACGATATCATAGTGAATCATAATTTTCAATAATGAATAAAAGCGAGAGAAATTGTTTTGCTTTAGTATGATCTTCACCGAATGTCGCTTTCACAATACGTTGCGCTTCGGTAAAACATCTTTTAGCTTCTTGTAATTTCGACTTTTGTTCATGTCGATTTTGTGCTGGATTACCCATTTCGACGACAATTTTCATACAACAATCACCTAAATATGAATAGACATCACAGACTTCAATGTGATCATCACCAAGAGAACTACGAAGAATTTGTAAAGCGTTTGTCAAATGAGTATAAGCCGATTCATAATTGTTTATCATAGCATATGCAAGACCGAGTGAATTGAGAAACATGCCATACTTGTAATGTTCATCACCGAATTCTTTTTGAATAATCACTAAAGCTCGTTTGATGTAGTCAATTGCTTCTCTATAATTACCTAGAAAAAAAATGAAGAGATTCTTGGTTTCTTTTTGAACAATATTTTCTTCTCAATAACAAACCTAGTTGATGTTGAACTTGTCCAATATTGTGAAGAATTTCAGCTGCTTCCGAATG